AGGGGGGGGGCCCCCCCCCCCCCCCCCCCCCTTTTTAAAAAAAATTCCTCCAAAACCCCCCCCCCCCCCCCCCTTTTAAATGGCCGTTGGGTCAAAATCCCCCCCCCCCCCCGCCATTGTGGGGATGCCAGGTAAATGTTTTAACGATTAAGAAATTCCAGGGGTCCCCCCCCCCCCCCCCCTCAATGTTGCCCTGCCTACGGCGCGACGAAGTGATCACCTCTTTGGACAAGCTGCTCATCTGCACCCGGGGTACGAAGCTGCCGTTGGCGGAATCCACGGGCCCCCCGTGTAGGACGTGCCCCAGCCACCCTTCCAGGATGTTGCGCTTGCTCACGTCGATCCAGCGGTCGAGGACGCCTTGGACGGCCTGCGAGCCGAGCCCGCCGCCCCCCTGGTAGTGCCCCAGGTGGGTGTCCAGCCCGTCTAGCTCCTGCTCGCCAAGGGGGGGGGGGGCACCAATACTACGGCGTTGGTTGACCAGATGCGTTTCGCTTCGGGCGCAACTAAACAGCACGATGGTCGGGGGGCTCGGAGGACAAACTCACGCGTCATGTCGGCTCCGGTTTTCCTTGCCTCTCACCGCCGCGTGGGGTCGAACTACCCTCTACGACAAAATGTGGTGGTTTAAAACCCTCACGACGAAGTTATAGCTTGAGCAACCAAGTGTTCCATGGGTGGTAAGTACTTTGGGTGTACAGTAGAATGACTTACCCTGTTGTACTACCCAAATTACCTTGGAAACCTACGGCCGACGAATACGGGGGCCAAGCGCGCCAACGGTCGATATTTTCAATCTATGGCGATCAAGCCGATGAACGAACACATGGACATCGGGAGCTCTGGCACCGAGCGGGAATCTGTCCGCATCGATGCTCCCCGAACCTAAACCTTCAGCCCCAAGCACTGCAGCTGCTTCACAGGCACCGACAGACCGTGGTAACTGCCTACAAACTTACCAGTACCAGTGTATATAGCAGCACAGCAGCGGCGGCAATTCGCGCACAACAACGAAGCGTACCTCCCACTCCGTCCGTATATCCCGCTTCGGAGAAGCATCGCGCGATCCCCTCCCTCCTTGGCCCGCCTCCCCCTTCGACACCCCTCCCTCGTGGTCCCCTTCCCCTCTAGGCGCGACAGCAGCAGCGGCAGCCGCCGGTGAGTGCAATTTGGGGTCCGAAACGTCTTCCGCCTTCAATCCAGCCGCTGCCTGTGCGCTTTCCTCCCGCGCGCTTCCCCCAAGATCGACCCGGCCGCTATCCCCCAAGCTCGACACCCCGGCGGCGCCGGCGGTGGCCGCCGTTGGTGTAGCGCTAGACCCGCGAAGGGCCTGCAGAGAGGTCTCTAGCCGGGCGATGTCGCCCCCCTGATCGACGGACAGCGCCTCCAGCCTGCCGCCAAACGGGCACGCATGTTGAAGGACAAGGAGGCAAAGTGTCATATGATGAGACGCCCGAGGCTTGTTTATTTGTTTGATACGGGCAACGCAGAGTCAGCGGTGCTTCGGCAAGAGTGTGCATCGCCAGTTTCTACTCCCGATGCGAAAGATAAATAGCCCAAACCTTAAGACTCTTCTCGAGCAGATCGATCTTCCATCTTTACGCTACGGCACGGGTGCAACGACACGTGGACCATACACATGCACCCCACCAAGGAACACAAGACTACCACAGCGAAAACAAGCGGGCGAATACAACTTGGCTTCCCGTCACCTCTTCAAGAGAACGTCCACTGCCGACGCCTTTGCTTCGCCCGGTGAGAACCTTTCCCGCCCGCGGCTCGTGCCGACACTTGTACCCCCCGTCCCTTCTACTGCCTCTTCCGAAACACTGCTCTCAGCAGCAGCGGCAGCGGCATCCCCGACCCTCTCCAACGCTGCCACAACTCCGAGCACGCTGTCGGGGTCCCCGCAGCCGGCCTCCTTGTCAACCCCCCCCTCAGTGGGGAGCCGAACCCCACCCGCTTCCTCCTCCTTCCCCCTGCGCCGTGCGCTTTCCTCGCCGCACATGAACGACAGGGCCAGCACACTCCCGAGGGTTTCGCGGAGGTCCGCGAGCGAGGCTTCCGACCTCCGAGCCGCCACCCTCCACCGCTCCACCTCACCCGGCTCCGACGACGCGGCAGGCGGTTGGGCATCCCCGCCGCCCGGCGCCGCGACCAAGCGCCCGCTGGTGCCCTCGCCGCCATCAGACGCGTGGTCTGCTTTGACGGGGAGGAGGGGACAGCCGTCGTCGTCGGCGCCACCGCTGCTCGCGGTTCTCCCGGCAGTAGCTCCCCCCCGGGGCTCTTGGGCTTGCTTGTCCGCCGCTGCTTCGTCTGCTGGTCGTGTCGCCGCGGCGCCGGTCCCTCCCCTTTCGGCAGTCGCCTCCGCCGCGCACGGGCCGGCGCCGTCGCCGCCCGGCTCGACGGAGCCGGCAGCAGGCCGCCCTGCTTCTTCTTCTGCTCGATCGGCGGTCCCTTCCTGGCTGCACGAAGGGAACGACCAAGACCCGTCGGAGGAGGCGGAGGCCCCCGCACCCCCTACCCCCTCCACCGCTCTATCACCACCACCACCACCACCACCACCACCACCACCACCATCATCAAGGCCGTCTGCCGGCTCCCCGCTCTCGACGGCCTCCCCGGCGCCGCCCCCCTCCCCGACGCCTGCCAGGGCCACCGCAGCAGCCCTCTTCTTCCCCTCGCCCCGCCTCACCTCCAGCGCCAGCGCCTCCAACTGCTCCACCCGCTGGCGCGCGAGACGCAGGGACGTCGCCAGCGCCTCCGACGCGGAGGCCCGCGCCCGCGCCACGCTCTCGGACCGCGCCGACCACAACGCGCCACCATCCGCGCCCGGGCCGGCGGCGGCAACGGCGACATCGGTGGGCGGCGAGGG